TGCCCCGCCGGGCGCTGTGGCTGGGCCTCCTCCAGCTTAGTGTACTTTGGTGTGGGGTGGGGAGCCCCAGGCTCCTGGATTTGGGTTCTCTGACCTCCTGGGCTCTGGGGCCAGGGCCTGCAGGGGGCCTGTCTCCAGTCACCTCTCACCCAATGCAGCAGGAGCCCGGCCGGCACCCCCGTTCTTCATTGATGGTCTGTCTCCTCTGTTCCAGGGTCGGGCTGGGAGCGACGGAGCAAGAGGCATGCCGGGACAGACTGGCCCCAAGGTAAGAGCCACTGACGCCCTCCTGGTGCCCTGGAGCCACAGTCACCGTCACTTGTTCTTACGGTGACACTGCGACCAGACCACAGCTCTATAACACATGTAGAGACTGGGACAGCGAGGGCCTGACGCTCCGATGTGGAGACAGGGCTTGCTGGGGAACCTCCGGGGCCAGGGCCACAGTTGAGGTGGTTTCCTCAAGGTGGGTGTGGTCCCTTCAAGTGGGGGCTGAGCAGGGCTGGGCTGGAACCCCAATGTGAGACCGTCTATGCAGGTGAGGGGCCGCACCCGCGGGGCAGCGCAGGGTGTGGCCTTGAGTCCCAGGTGTGTGGGCAGCAGGGCTTCTCATCCAGTCCTGGGCACGGGCCCCTGGGTCCCCACAGGTGTGCTGTCCCCAGGGGTGCTGCTGGTCCCTTCCGTCCTCGCTGCTGTGGTCGGGGTGGCCACCCCTTGCCCTCGCCCCCGGAGCGGCACTCCCCCAGCTCGGTCTCTGCTCTGACCTTACGTGGTTGTCCAGAGCTGGGGGAGGGGCCTGAGAACATTCAATATGGAGCCTGCAGTGGGGACAGCAGCTGCTCCCGGAGGGGTGCAGACTGGGTGGCCCCGAATGCCAGGGGTCCTGTTACCTGGCACAGTGAGCCCTGAGGTCCTCGGTGAGTCCTCTGGTCCTTGGGAACCTTAGTGACAGCCAGAGAAGAGTCTAGTTGGCTGTCTCGGTGGGAGCAGGTGTCCTTTCAACAAGATAACTGACAGCCTCAGCTAGCCCACTGACTCCAGCCCACATGGCAGAAGGCTGCCTATGGCCAGGGTGCCACTGCGGGGGACAGCCTTTTGGGCAGAGGGTGGGCAGTGGGCAGGGCCCTGGTGCCCGCGGCTGTCCCTGTGGTGGGGAACCTGGCAGTGACACACACACACACAGTGATGTGTAGATGGCATGTGATACAGCCTTTCTGTCCTCTGCACAGGGCGACCGGGGCTTCGATGGCCTGGCCGGGCTGCCGGGTGAGAAGGGCCACAGGGTAAGTACTTCTTCCAGAGAAGCGGGAAGGACTGAGCGGCAGAGGTTTTTCTCAGAGATCCTCCCAGGCAGCCGGGCTTCCTTTCAAGGAGTCAGCTCTTCTGATCGAAGTGGTCGCTTAAACAGACCTCGCGGGGGTCAGTGTGGGGTTCTCCACATCAGAATTAGAGGGGAGCCAGCCAAGGGCGAAGACGTGCAGTGTGTGAACACCCCCCCAGGAGTGGCTGACGTTGACCTTGGTTGACTTCTAGGGTGACCCCGGTCCTTCCGGCCCACCAGGACCTCCAGGAGAAGATGGAGAAAGGGTACGTGTCTCATCCTGCCCCACCTCCAGCCGCTGCTCCTCAGGGAGCCCAGGTGGGAACACAGCAGGTGCAGTCATGGTGGCGGTGGAGGTGACCGCCCGCTGTGAGGCCCCTGTGCTGGGGGGCCAGGAGAGGAAGAAAATTCTGGGAGGGGAGAGTGGCCCAGTGCCGAGAGGCAGCTGCAGAACTTCTGAGAGACAGCAGATTGCCCACGTTGCCTTCGGCTCGCCATTTCATCCCCACGGAGTGCAGAGATGGCGGCCCTGCCCCCGGTCTCAGAAGAGCACCTCTGGCTGCAGTAGGCCGGGCCCCCGCCCCCTGGAGGAGAGTGCCAGAAGTTGAGCTCAGCGTCTCCTCCCACCTCGTCTGAGGTCCTGGGGAGTGAAGGCCTTTCCAGGAGAAGTGGGTGGAGGGGACCTGAACTGCGTCCGCGGCGAGTAGGTGGAGGGCCTGCGGCTGTACAGGCAGAGTGACGGAGGGAGGCTCCTCTCCATGCGGGTCCTGGCACTCCTGCCCTGGGCTCACACCCCCAGTGCTCTCTGTCGCGCGTGTCTGCGTGGGGGCCAGAGGCCAGGTGCCATTCTGGACAAGCGCTGCGAGCGGTGCAGGGCACGTGCGACTCCGTGCACCCCGGCCACTCTGACAGCTCATTGGGTGTGAGGAGCACCCTGGCGAGGTCGGAGTCCTGGAGGAGGCGGGCTCAGGCTCTGGTGCCTCCCTGTCCTCACCAGCGCTCAACCCGCCATTGGGCGCCTTCTCCCAACTGGCCCCGAGAAGACACAGATGGATTCTTCTAGAGGCCTGTGCCTTTTGATCCAGAGAAAATGTGGAGTGCATGAGTGTGCATGCATGTCTGTGTACTTGTGACCACGTGCATAGCTGCACATTTGTGTGTGCACATGCCTGCGAGTAGTGTGCGATGTGTGTGTTTGTGTGCATGCACAGGGTGGAGTTGTGTGTCTGTGTCTGCGAGGGGGTGGCTTTGTGTGGATACACAGTGTATTTGTGTGCATGGCTGTGTGTGATCATGTGAAAGCACAGGATGCATGTCCACATGTACACACATATACAGCCTGTGCATGTGTGTGTGCATCATGTGTGTTTGCATTATGCACACAACATATAAATGTATGTAGCTAAGTGCAAGCATGTGCATGGACACGGTGTCTGTGCATGTGCGGCTGTGTGTGCACAGACTACATATGTGAGAGCTGTGTGAGCATGTGGGTGCACAGGATGTAGGTGTGCATGTGCGTGCACAACATATAATGTGTTCACACAGTGTATATATGTGTGTGATGATATGTGAGCATGTGTGGACAGGGTATGTGTGCACACACGTGTGTGCACAATGCATATGTGGGTGTGTGGCCATGTATGTGCACACAGCGCATGTATGTGTGTGACTGTGTGCACATGTGCATGCACGATGCAAATATGTGTGCATGTGTGTGCACAATGTACATGTGTGCGTGGCTGTGTGCGTGTGTGAGTGTAGCATGTCAGAAACCAGGAAGAAATCACATGCTGGGGGTAGCCTCTGGGTGGACCTGGAGCCAGGGAAGCACCCTCCTCTGGAAGCAGAAGGAAGAGGTTCTTACTGCTTCGCTTCAGACTGTGTAGTCCAGGCCAGAGACACTGGGGGTGGACCTAGGGACCCCATGTTTCTCCCTGGCCTCCCTGCACTTGTTCCTGCTGTTTGTGACAGTGAGCAAACTCTAAATTAAATTATTCTCGCCCAACTTTCTGCCACGTGGCACTGCACCTTGTGAGACCCTGACGGGCGTCTCAGAACCTTAGGCCCCTCCTTCCGCCTGCAGCACTCACCGGGTCGCCCTGCAGCTCGGGAGCAGGGCAGTGCAGGCTCTCCCAGCTGGCTGGGGCTGCTCAGGCTGGCACGTGCCCGAGCCGCCCAGCCAGAGTCCTGCATGACTGGAGGGAAACTCGCCCCGCTGGGTGTCCAGACTCAACAGCTTGTCCCTAAAATGCTGCTGCTTTTCTGCCCACAGGGTGACGATGGAGAAGTTGGGCCCAGGGGTCTGCCTGGGGAACCCGTAAGTCCACTGAATGTGCTGGGGCTGCAGGAGCAGGGTGGGGTCCGCGCGGGGTGCGGGCCAGGCAGGACTCTGCCTTGAGAACAGGGAAGGGTAGGGGTGCACTGAAGGCCATCTGGGCAGCGCAAGGAGCAGGTCTGGGCCTCGCTATGGCAGGCACTCGGGGCCTCGAGGGCTGCATCAGCGCCTCACCCGGCCCCACGGCTGCCCTCCCCAGAGTGTGGGGCAACCAGTAGCCCCTTCCCGGCGTTGACCTCGTTTTAGGCCCAAAGCGATTTCGCAACGATAAAAGGCCGTTAATTCCTCCTCACTGATGCTGCTTTTTGGGTCTTTCTGCATTCTCCAAATTGGCGTGGATGTGCACATGGGCGATGCTAATTGATGAGAAATAGTGTCAATGCGCGTGGGAGTGTGGGGTCGCACTCGCAGATGCGCTTGGACTGAATCACACCGCGGTGCCTGGTTACCCAAGGCAGTGCCGCAGCCCCGCTGTCTCTTAGCACGTGTCCAGCAGCACTTCCCAGGTTACTAGCTTCTAAAAGACATCTGAGTGGCTGGGTATTCAGATAACCAAGGAAGTTTTACAGAGGCAGTGAACGTAGGGAGGATTGCTCTCTTACTGGATCCAGAAAGGGTCTATCAGAATTAAGGGCACTTGAGATCCATGTGTTTGGGCCCCAGGGGTGGGGTGCCGTAGGGTCCCATGACAGACAGAGAGTATACTTGCCCCTCCATGCTTCTCTGTCGTGCTGGGTGGCAGTGGTGGCTGCTGCTTGCTCCGCAGACCTGGGTGGTGCTGCACGTGTCCCCACGGCCAGGCACAATGGGCCTGCTCTCTGCAGAAGAACCTGATGGGGGTCACGTGGCTCCCGTCAGCCCTCTCCCTGCACGCTGCGTGCTCTGACGGCAGGAGCCCTGTGTGTGTCAGGGCCTTGAGAGGGAATCGTAACCAGCGCTGGGCGGGAGCGCGGTGCGTTGCTGAGTGGGAACGTATGCTCTTGGAGGCTCAGGCCCACCTGCCCTGAGCAAGTGCCAGAGGCAGCCACGGGCTGCAAAGGGCCCCGTTCCCCGAGGGCCCCCTCAGCACCCTGTCCCAGCCCCTGCAAACTCCAGGCACTGGCTCGGGCCCTCAGGCTGGGGCGGGGAGGTAGGGAGGTGGTGAGGAGATGAGGCAGGCCCAGGGGGTCTTGGTCACTCCCCTGGAGATACGGAGACATGGCTCTGCTTGGGGACGGTGGTGGGAGGCTGGCTCCTGGCCGAGTCTGAACCCTTCTTGCTCTTCCATCTTTTAGGGACCACGAGGTCTGCTTGGGCCGAAGGGGCCCCCAGGCCCTCCTGGACCCCCCGTAAGTTTGGTCACCCCTTTGCACGTGCGTCCCCTCAAGGCCTTGAACCCTGCCACTCAGAGAGTGGTGCTCTGGGGCCCTGGGCAGTTAATCTGCCTGATTAGCTGCCCACAGCCTGCTGCAGAGGCGTGAGATGACAACAGGTCCCGAGGCTCCCAGCAGAAGCAGGGCTCCCACCATGTGGGCTTGTGGGGAGGCCGCGGCCAGCCACATGGCCTTCCGGTCACATGCAGTAGCCACCAGAAGCCACGCTTCCTGCTCCTTCCTCCCAGCAGCTCCTGCGAAGGCTCCAGGGCTGCAGAGCCCTGGGCTTCTGTGAGGCTCCATTCTGTGGGCTCTGTCCCCTGGGGCTCTGTCCCATGGGCTCTGTCCCCGTGGGCTCTGTCCTGTGGGACTCCACCCCGTGGCTCTGTCCCATGGGCTACGTCCCGTGGGCTCTGTCCTGTGGGCTCTGTCCCCATGGGCTCTGTCCCGTGGGCTCTGTCCTGTGGGCTCCACCCCCGGGCTCTGTCCTGTGGGCTCTGTCCCCATGGGCTCCGTCCCATGGGCTCTGTCCTGTGGGCTCTATCCCGTGGCTCTGTCCTGTGGGCTCTGTCCCGTGGGCTCCGTCCCGTGGGTTCCGTCCTGTGGGCTCTGTCCCCATGGGCTCCATCCTGTGGGCTCTGTCCTATGGGCTCCATCTCATGGGCTCTGTCTCCACGGGCTCTGTCCTGTGGGGCTCAACCCCGTGGCTCTGTCCCATGGGCTCTGTCCCGTGAGGTGGGGACTTCCCAGGCCAGACTGTTCCCTTTGCTCCTCAGCCCTCTGACTTGCTTCTCCGTGAAACTTGGGGCTGTCCCTCAGGATGCCAGGGCCTGGCAGCCCTGTCAGCCCTCTGACCAGCAACCCTCCAGGACAGGGACTGGGCCGGGCCTCAGTCCCGCTCGGGGCCCCTGTGACGGCCAGGACAGGCGTCCAGGCCCTGTGACGTGGAAGCCCCGAGCACTGCCGTCCCTCTGCGTTCTCTTCCTTGACCTTCCTCGCTTGTGAATTCCTTGCAGGGTGTGACAGGTGTGGATGGCCAGCCGGGCCCCAAGGGCAATGTGGTGAGTCGTGGGTCCCCCCTTGGCTGGAGGCCTGTTAGTGTCCCCGGCAGAGTGCAGATACAGCCCCTCACCCACCAGCCTACCCACTAGCAGGGCGAGTGATGCCGGAGGGCTGGAGTCACGGTCAGGCAGCTGGTGCACGGCAGGCCAGGAGGTCACCACCACTGCTCTGAGAAAGCCCCAGGGCTCCCCGGCCTGGGCACCGAGTCTGTTTCAGGGGTGCCAGCGGGGTGCAGACTATGGCGGGGATTTGAGAGCTCTCTACCAGTGAGCTATCTCTTGCCCGGCCCGTCGCGCTGCCTAGGGGGTCGCACCCCTGTGGGATGGACGTCTGAATGTGTTTGCACAGAGGCAGTGCTGGCATGCCAGGTGGCCGTCTGCAGTCTGGGGGTGCCACACCTGACTCTGCTCTGTAGCAGGACCCACCTCCTCCCTGACCGGCTGCTCCTGGGCACGGTCCCTGGGGCTGCTCTGGGCAGCTCAGAGCAGACTGAGGGGCCAGGTGGTGGGGACACGCGTGCTGAGGGGCCGTTCCCAGAGCTCCTTCAGTGCCTTTGTGGTTGTACCCTACAGGGTCCCCAGGGAGAGCCCGGCCCTCCAGGACAGCAGGGTAACCCAGGTGCCCAGGTAAGTGAGCCTGGGGAGACAGCTCACGGACAGCAGGTCTGGGGGTACCCAGAATGAGCAGCACTGAGCTGGGCCCTCAGCGTGCCTAGAGGCATCTAGCACCAGGGTGGTGCCCAGCGGAGGGAGAGGGTCAGCAGGGTGGTGGGGGGACACAGAGGCGTTCTGGGTCGGTCCACCCCCTCACCTCTCCTTCCCGGCTCTTCCCCCGCCAGGGTCTTCCAGGCCCCCAGGGTGCCATCGGCCCGCCAGGAGAAAAGGTAGGTGGCCTGAGGTGCGGTGGGGGCCGCCCGCCTGCCATGAAGTTCTGGCCTGGGCTGGCAGACCCCCAGGCCCCTCTGCTCGAAGGTGTGTCTCTGCACCAGCGGGCCTGGAGCGCAGCTCGCCAGGAACTGAGCAAGACTCCCTGCGGGGCCCTTGGGTCTTTATCTTTCTGGCTCCAACTTCACACCTCACCCTCCCTCCCAGTGGTGCGCAGAGTTGCCACATTTAGAAAATAATACAGGGCGCCCCGTTAGAGCTGAACTGCTGGCTGTTTTCCTGAAATTCCTAGTTAACTGGGCACCGTGTTTTGCTCTGGTTTGTTCTTGTTTAATGAGTTAGTTTTGCCAAATTTGAACCTGCTGCCCCAGAGCAAGGCGAGAGCCAGACTGGCCCTGCCAGAGCTCAGGGCTCTGCCTAGGCCCCAGGCATCTTGGTAAATGCACACGTCTTGGCTGGAGCAGTGCGAGACTTCTGGGGTGGCTCTGAGCACGTGGGACCCCGTGGCCGCTGGGCTGCTGGGCCGGACTGCTGCTGACCTGCTGCCTCCGGGCTGATTGACTTTGCTCACCTATGGCCGGCAGGGCTGGTCCCTGAGCCGTGGTCGCCCTGCCGGGCCCTGGGGTGCTAGCTGGGGTGAGGAATAGAACTGGGAGGTGTAGTCCGCGGGGTTGAGGGCCTGGGGGAAGGGCACCTGGAGCTGACATCTGCGTCGGCAGTGTGTGATGGGCCGAGCCCTCCGCTGGGTGACCGCATCCCTCCAGCAGAGCCCGAGGAGCTGGAGACAGCAAGTGGGGGGGTGCCTCCTCTCCACTCCAGAGTGGCCAGGCACCCCACGGTGGCGGAGAGGGCTCATTATTCTACTCAAGTGTCCCCTGGGCAGAAAGGGTGAAAAGTGGCCTTGGGGACACTTGGAGAGGCCAGCAAGCCAAGGGGAAGCCAACCCGGGGAACTTTTCCTCAGTTTCTGGTTCCTTCCAGGGTCCCTTGGGTAAACCAGGCCTCCCAGGAATGGCCGGTGCCGCAGGACCCCCGGT